TGCTCCTCATAATCACTCAGGGATCCAGGAGGAGGGAGCAACGACCCTCTGTGCCAGAAGGAAAAGAAAGCTCTGGAGAATTTCACATGGGTGAAGGTGACACTTCACTTCTGTGCATAATTCACTGGCCAGAAAGAGTCACATGGCCTTACCCAACCCCAAGATTGCCATAAAATGCACTCCCATCTTATGCCTGGAAAGGAGGCGGGAAGGGTGGAGATTTGGTTAACTGTATCAATGATTTTCATAGTATGTTTTAACTTTTATTGAGTAACACATACCAAACTTAAAATAAAATTGTTGACTTTTTTTTATAGATTATAATTCCATTTAACATGAAAAATATGAAAGTATCCTAAAATAATCCATTTTTGCATTTAAAATAACCACTGTCACTAACCTCTGCTACTTCAGCTCTTCAAAGATGCTTTTCTTCCCAGATAATGACACATACTATAGATAAGTATTGAGAATAGCTGAAAAAAAATTGCTTGTATTTAAATATGTTGGAAGGGAAATTGAGGGTTCAATATTTTCTTCAGTGCTGGCTTTGTTTTCTCTCACCACTCTCTCCAGTAACAATGCACTTCTTAATCACAGAGGATGGGAGACATGATGATTAAAGGAAATTTACTCCCATACTCACACTCACACAATATATCTGATTTCAGAAAATCACAACAAATATCCAATTACCATGTTTCTAACAGCCATACTTCACCCAGGAAAAGACAAGAAGCCTAAGAGCGTATAGTGCCTTCACTGATCATTAAAGGAAGCTTCCCCCAAAGCATGTTGAACTGTCCCTTGGTTTGTCATGGAGGACTCTACACCCTGGATGAGAGATATACCTGTCTTTGGTAAAGTGAGAAAATAACTATTGTAAACGCAGAAGTAGAAGAGAAGAACCTACACAATTTTAGGAAAGAGTATTCATTGAGAATCTGTAAATTAATTTACTTAAAAGAGTAAATATCCACCTGCCTCTTAGACTATGTCACACAATAAGAACTTGAAGTTGATGTGAACTTTAATTCTTGCTCTATCTAATGGCAAGGAATATGTGCCATACAATATGATGGATACTGAAACTGCTTACAGAGGAGGCTATCTCACCACAACCTAGAGTAATAAGTATATTTTCAATTATGATCCCGTACACACATACACATTGTTTCATGAAACAATAATTACCCTTACTACATATGATACACTCTGATATCCTCTATTCTGATGTCTTTAATGCTGGTCACAAGCCACTAAATTGATTTCATAACCAACTAATGAATCATAACCCACAATTTTAAAACACTGAGCTATAGAAAATAGAAATATGTAAGGCAATCCCTGATTATAAGAAGTGTCTTTAAAGTGTCTTTAGCTTGAAGGGATAAGGGACAACTGAGGTCTAGAAGTCAATGTCCATAGGAGGTTAAAATTTACTCTGTTTTGTTAGTTTGCCCACCCTACTATTCACATTTTTCCATTGGCCAGTTTCTGAACCAATATCACAAGCTTGCTGTTTCCAACTCTGTGGTAAACTGACAAATTTCCCCCAAATTTATCAGGTCCTAATCCCTGAGTCTATACTACTATATATAGAAAAAGGACCTCTGCATATATGAATAAATTAAGGACCTTGAGGTGGGGAGATTATCCTGTATTAACTAAGGACACCCTAAATGCATTTACATGTATCCCTGTAAGAGGGAGGCATTAGGAGATCTGACTCACATAAGAGGAGACGGTGATGTGAAGAGGAAGGAGAAAGAAATTTGAAATTCTAGCCTTGAAGACTGGAGTGACAGGACTCCAAGTCAATGAAGCTGAAAGAGTCAAAGAACTGATTTTGCCCTGGAGCCTCTGCAGAGAGCACTGATTTTGGTCCAGTGATACTGATTTTGGACTTCTGGCCTCCAGAACGGTGAGAGAATAAAGCTCTGATATTTTAAGCCACAGCAGGCTCAGGAAACTAATATGAACCCCATTAACATGACCTAAAGAGAGTCATAGTGCAACATGCCCAGAGCACATGGCCACCTGTAACTTTATACTTTACTATGTTTTAAAAGAGAGTTATGGTAATTTTTTTTTAATTTAAAGAGTTATGGTAGCTTACAGAGATTCACAAACATACTGATAACAGAAATAATAACTAGGTGAAAAGAGAAAAAAACAAAGACAGCCCTGGCCAGTGTGGCTCAGTTGGTTGGAGCATCATCCCCTACACCAGAAGGTGGTGGGTTCAATCCCCAATCAGGGCATGTGTGGGAGGCAGCCAATTGATGTTTCTCTCTTTCTTTCCCTCCTTCCTTTCTCTAACATCAATTTTAAAAAATATATTTTTAAATATATTTTTAAATTATTTTCAGAGCGGAAGGGAGAGGGAGAGAGAGGTAGAAACATCAGTGATGAGAGAGAATCTTTGATTGGCTGCCTCCTGCACACCCCCTACTGAGTATTGAGCCCACAACCCCAACATGTGCCCTTGACCGGAATCGATCCCGGAACCCTTCAGTCCACAGGCTGATGCTCTATCCACCGAACCAAACCAGCTAGGGCAATATATTTATTTTTAAAAACCACAAAGACAGATATATAAAAGAGAGCCAGCAACAAAGTTTATGCAAATCTATATATATATATAAACAGGGAATATGCTAATTAGCCAAGCATCACGACAGCTCAGGAGGAGCTGCATCATAACCACTCAGGAGGAGCTGCTCGCACAGATGGCCTGGAGGGGACTGCGTGCTGCCCCTACCCCAGTGGCCACGGGGAGGCTGGGGCTGGGGGCGGGCCAGAGTGGAGACACAACACACAGGAGCACCTGCCCCCACCCCAGCAGACACAACGCAGTGGCTGGCGCTACGCGGGTCAGGCACAGATCCCGGCCAGCGGGGCGCCTCCTTGCACAATTTCAATCGCGCCTTGGGCCTCTACTATACATATAAAAGCCTAAGCGACCATTACGACCGGACTACTGGCCTGTAGCTATGACTTGCACTGACCACCAGGAGGCACACTCAATGCAGGAGCTGCCCCCTGGTGCTCAGTGAGCTCCCACAGTGGGCTCACGGCTGGGGAGCACAGCTGAGGTGGCACAAGCCTCTCCCGCCTTCTTGGCAGCGCTACCAAGAGGCTTCGATGGCAAACGCAGCGGGACCGGGATGAGTGGGAATGGCATGGCACCGGGCCCTCGCTCGGGCTCCTCCTCAGCTGCCTGCCACTTGGTTCACTACTACATCCCTCAGGGAATGTCAGACTGCCGGTTTTGGCCCAATCTCTGCAGGAGATTGCCAGGCTGAGGGACCCCACCGATGCACAAATCCGTGCACTGGCCCCTAGTATACATATAATAGTTCTTGCCATTAGACCAAATTTGGCTTTGAACTTTCTAACAGCCAACATGCAAAGGTAGCCTCCTTGTTTACATGATTCAGTGGCCATTAGATAAAAAACAAGCCAACTCCACAAGGTGAAATTTCTACCCAGAACAGTTTTTTGGACTGAGCTATGCAAAATAAGATGAGGGATACTCATTATACCATGTATAAATATAACTGCAGTAAACTTCTTACAATAGACCCAAGTTTCTATTGATACTTACTAAATCATAGGAAAATAGCATGTCAAAACATTATTTGAGCCCTGGTTGGTGTGCTCAGTGGTCAGAGCGCGGGCCCACAAATGGCTTTGATTCCAGTCAAGAGCCTGTACTTGGGTTGCAGGTTCCCCACCCCAGTTGCAGCAAGTGCAGGAGGCAACCAATTGATGTGGCTTTCACTGAAATGTTTCTCTCTCTCCTCTCTCCCCCTCTCCTCCCTTCCGCTCTCTCTACAATTAGTGGGGGGAAAAATCCTCTAGTGAGGATTAACAACAACAACAAAATTTGATTAAAGCATATTCTATAGAACAGATTAACGTCAAAACATAAAATTCAATCAGAGGGAAGAAGGTGTCAATAGAATGAATATTTTCTAGGTATACGGCTCACTGCTGATTTGCCTTATTTCTAGGGTACATTTTATTTTTATTTTTTTAAATATATTTTTATTGATTTCAGAGAGGAAGGGAAAGGGAGAGAGAGATAGAAACATCAATGATGAGAGAATCATCCATCAGCTGCCTCTTGCAAGCCCCACACTGGAGATCCAGCCCCCAATGGCTCATGTGCCCTTGACCAGAATCTACCCGGACCCTTCAGTCCACAGATCGACACTCTATCCACTCAGCCAAACCGGCTAGGGCTCTAGGGTACATTTTAGAATATTTATGAAAGGCCTTGAATAATTCTCAGAAAATAAGTACATGTTCAATAAATGTTTCATACAATGTCTATGGGATGTGACTTGCTTGAAAGTAAATTTAATAGGAAAAGAAATACCTATTGAGTTTATACTATCTCCCAAGCGGATCTGGGTGACTACTGAGGAGTCAGATAAATATCCCATCTGTCCCTGAAAGAAGCATCCAGGCCAGTGGAGGAAGAGGGCCACAAAGGGCTCCAAACAGCGCCCCTAATCCAGGAAGGGAGTACCAAGAATGGCCTCCTGCAGGTGATACTAATTGCCTATTAGAGGATGAGTAGGTAGGCGGAAGGACAGGTGTATGGCACCCCATGTGGAGCCGAAGACTTCAGTCCCTAGAGTCAAGGCTTAGGATGGATGAAAAGAGAATGACACCAAAAGAGGAAAAGAAAAAAGAAAGTGCATTTCATCTTCCACCACAAGGCGCACACAATAGCCACTGCTTCAGAGATCTGGGGGGCAGCTGTGTAGCCACTTCCAGCAAAACACGGTTAGCGAACCTCGCAGGACCTTACAGGAAAACTAACCTTCCTTCCTTACCCCGGACCACCTAGTCCTCGGTACGCACGCCCGGAGGAGCTAGCCTCACTGCGCAGGCGCCAGGTCTGACGCTAGTAGCTCCGGGTCTTCCACTAGGGTTCCTCTCTAGCCCCCAGGCTTTCGTTTCTCTACTGCTCTCCGCAGCGGTTTCTGGCGAGACTTGGAGCCGGGTTGGGGGCGGGCCTTCCGGTGGAAGGGCGCGTGGGAGAGGAAGGTCAGCACTGGGTAAGGCTGTCCGTGACTTCGTGGGGGTCTGTAGAGCGGTGTGGGCGGTGGCTGTAGGGGCGGGGTGGGGGTTGGGGCGGGGGGAGGGTTGGGGTCCACAACTTTGTAGGGTCGCCAAGAACAGAAGGAGACAATTTCATTTTTAAGCAGCTTGGAAGGTTCGCCGGTATCATACAAACAACTTGGCCTTTTCATGCGTAAATTGGGGGATTTTCTCTAAACTAAGGACGCTAGCCTAGTTTCCTCTCCGGCGCAGTTACTGTCTTCTTGATTAGGGAGCTTTCAAGACTCCGTTTCTTTGCTCACCAGATGGCTTTTTGCACCGTAGCTTTGTGTGGGGTATGCAGATTAATTTTGTTAGCAGCTTGAGAAAAATATAATAAAGTGATATTTAAGAAAAATATTCGCGAAATACCCTGCCGATTCGACGTCAGGTGACTTGACACGGTTCCTTCCATCCCAGGCAGGCGTGATCCAGTCAGTTGGAGGGTTTTGGGGATGTTCTTGTTAAACTGAATAAAGCTGATATACAGATATATATATCCCACATTCAAAGGCTGATTAATCGCGTTGCTTACCCATATCTTCAGAAAAAAATCGCTTCTACTGTCGTGGTAAACAACCTGCTTCCCTATTTATAATGGTCTGGCCCTCTAGCAACTTCAGCGCGAAATTATAGCTAATTTGCCTGCAAACGTCAGATGGTCATAATAATCTGGCCACTCAGTGTATATCCAGAGCCCTTGATGTCTCTGAGACCCAGTAAAATGATCAGTACCAGGCTTTAAAAATAAGAAAGCATTGTGTTTAGATTGTTTTCCTGTGAAACACGTGTGCACAGCGTGTGAGTTCCTTGGGGCCAGCTGATGATTAGGGCAGGCACTGGGCCATGAGTTCTGTGCGCCAGCCTCATTACGGAGGAGGCAGTGTAACTGTCCTCATGTAGCAGATGAGAAAACGGAGGCCAGGAGTGCAGTGCCTACTACTAACACGTTAGGCCATGAAAGTGCAGAGGCAGAATTCCTCCCAGATTCTCAGCTCCAGAGCTGGAGCTCTCCTCTAACCACTGGTTTTTGAGAAACTGGAGAAAGCGATCCCCAGCAAGATTTACACACACGAACGATTCAGCATACATTTTTAAAGTTCCACAGGATTCACCACGCCAAGGGATAGCCAAGTTAAGAACTCCAGCACTTTTCAAAGAAAAAAGGCAAACCTAATTCGAAACCAGTATTGAAATAAACATTGAACCTGACCTTTTAAGTGCATCAGAAGTATCAGAAAAAAAATCAAAGAAACTTGCCCTTTTATGCCAAAGTAAAAATATGGGAATTTCCTTATGTGGGCCTAATATATTTGAGTAATTTGTTTTTTGCTTACCATTTTTAACTCCAGTTAATTTTCCTTCATGATGCTGTTTTATCTAGTTCACATTTAAAGAAAAGTGATTTAATTGTACCTCTTAGAATGGCTTCATGTGAATAAAAATCTAATTGACATGTAAAATATTTGCCTTTTACTTTAATGCCTTTAACAAGGTCATCAGATTTTTTTTAAAGATAAAATGGAAGGAATCCATAAAAAGGCATATCAAGGCCCTAAAAAGTCCTAAGTATGGCATTTGAATTTTTTAAAAACTTAAGGCTAGTAAAAAGTGGCAGTTTGCCAGTATTAGAACCAATATTTATGGACAGCAAAACTTTTAAGCTGTTTTAGCCTATGTGGGGGAAAAAAAAAGAACATCAAGTTCCTATGCCATTCTTAATCAGACACATATGGGCTATGTGGAAGGAGACTACAAAGCAGTAATTGATAATTATAACCATTTTCAGTTTCCTTCTATTTAGCAAGTGGTTCTCTGTTCCTAGTAAGAGACTCAGGTTTGAAAAGGTTTATTCCCTTTCTCCATCATAAAAGTTTTAGGACTTGGATTTTGTGATATAATCACATTCCAATGGATTCTAATGAGATCTTTTGATTTATAAGCTACTAGAGGCCCGGTGCACAAAATTTGCAAGGCCTTTAGAGGTTTAAAGCACTAACTTGTTAACTATTTTCTGTTTATACATTAAACCAGTGGTTTTCAACCTTTTTCATTTCATGGCACACACTAATTACTAAAATTCTGTGGCACACCAAAATACGTATATATTTTTGCCAATCTGATAAAAAAAAATAGGTATAATTTTGATTCACCCACACCGGACAGCTATTGTGTTGACTGTTGTCATTTTATTTGACAACCTAAAGGAAAAGAGGGACTTTGTAGCAATTTGAGAGTTTTGAACATCACTTTCTGCTTGAACTCTTTGGAGATGGAATTCAGGAGGAACTTCAGGCTGTGACTGACTTCCAATAACCCACCCTGGACCCCGGAGTCTTCTCAGGTTCCCCGTGAAGAAGAGTCAGCTGGCACTCAAGTACTAGCAAAGGACTTAGTAACTTGACTCTCAGCCCTACTACAAAATTCCCTTCCCTTCCACCAAAACATTCACCCCAACAGCAGGACAGAGAAAAAAACTTAAAGGGGTTGGACTGGGGCTGAATCAGGGCATGCTGTATAGGAGACGACGTGGAGTGAGGAACTGTTCTGAAAGAAAAGATGTTACAAGTTATTAGATCTTTGCTTAAAGAAGACCTACAGGAGAGGAAACTTGAGATTGAATCAAGATTCAGAAGATTTACATGTAGCTGTCATTATTGCCTATATCATGGAGATCCTTCTGATAATATTATCAGATCCTTCTGATAATATAATATCATGGAGAATTATAACATGGAGCCGATTTGGACATAAACCTTGTTCTCGTACTTTTTTTTTCTTGCTAGTAATTTTAAGTCATTATGCAGCAGCTTAGGCAAACTACTCTGCTAGGATAGACTGTATACTAATATTTAGATCACCTATGATAGAAGTTCTGTGATGGTCTTTCTCTTGCATCTTTTTCTTGTCTACCTTGATACCAGGAATCAATTTAGATTGCATTTAAATGACTTCAATATACTTCAGTTCCTTTTTTATTTGACCCAAAGAAGCACTAATAGGTCTGAGTGTTGTCATTGTGTTTTAGAAGCCGGAAGTCAGCAAGATGAAACCCAACATCAAGAATGAGAAGCAAGTAACTTGTATGGAAGAAATGTAAAACAGAATACATTGGATGGTTTGGCTACAACATGATTAGTGCAGGGTGCATTAACTAGATTCTCTGGTTTTCAAAAACTTGAGTTGTAACAAGTTTTTTGATGTGCTATTTCAATTTTTAGTAGCAAATGTGTGTATAGGGCATCTTATGAAAATTTAGGACATATACGAAAAAATAAAATAAAGGTAAAGAGGTCAGTGTCCCTGACTAAATAGTCAGGTATTGCATGTTTTACAAACTCTTGCGGCACACAGTTTGAAAATCACTGTGTTAAACAGTTAATGACTTTGTCTCTCATTGATGAAAATATAACCCCAACTCATCCACATCCATATAATGAAGCAAGAGTTGGGAGAGAAGTAAATCTGGGAACTAAAAGGAAAAGGAAAAAGAAACAGCAAGACTTGCACAGATCCCTGGTTTGGGGGGTCAGGGGACGGCAAAGGAATCTTGGATCTAACAGTTGTCCCTTTGCTGGCCTTCAGGTGGCACTATTGGCCCAAGATTGCTTGGTTGGTTTCAGAATGATAAATGGTTTGAGATTGATAATTCTTAAGTTGGTTTGAGGCCAGCCTCTGCTCTTTCAATGGATCTTGACATACACATTAAATATTCCTTAATTTAAACACTGATTTTTGGTTTTGTTTTTCTTGCACTAGATATTTTGAAATGTACTTAACACCCTTCCTGTTTAGGAGGGGTTTTTTTGTCTATTTTTTCCACCTTTTTTTCAAGACAGGTTTATGACATTTTTCTATTTGAAGATCAACTCCTTTTTATCCCAGCTGAACTATCCCCCAAGATGGTCTCTTAGCATAGATTCTCATCTCACTATGTACAAAAATGTCAAATTAGCATATTCTGCCAATAGTTACCTACATTTAACTGGAATGGAATAAGATAGTTATTTCACCAGAGCATTCTTGGTTAAGTATCACCTATATAATTTTTGATATTTTAGCTATGATTTCTGCATATTACAGATACCATTTATATACCTATTTGAACATTCTATCCCTCTTGCCTCGACCTGCACAGCTAGGTTCAGGATCTGAAGGAGGGGCTGATGCACAAATGAAAATGCTATACAAGAAATATGAATTTAGAAGGCATTGGGGCCCTAACTGGTTTGGCTCCGTGGATAGAGCATCCACTGAAAGGTCCCAGGTTCGATTCTGGTCAAGGGCATGTACCTTGGTTGCGGGCACATCCCCAGTAGGAGGTGTGCAGAGGCAGCTAATCGCGATGTTTCTCTCTCATTGATGTTTCTGACTCTCTGTCCCTCTCCCTTCCTCTCTGTAAAAAAAAATCAATAAAATATATTTAAAAAAAAAAAAAGGCGGCATTGGGGGGCCAGGTGGAACCTCTTTCATGAAGAGGCTCACTGAGTCCTGGCCTAGTCTGCTTTTTTTAAAAAATATATTTTTATTGATTTCAGAGAGGAAGGGAGAGGGAGAGACGGAAACATCAATGATGAGAGAGAATCACTAATTGGCTGCCTCCTGCATGCCCCCTACTGGGGATCGAGCCCGCAACCTGGGCATGTGCCCTTGACTGGTATCGAACCTGGGACCCTACAGTCTGCAAGCCGATGGTCTATCCATGGAGCCAAACCGGCTAGGGCAATCTGCTTCTTATTCAGTTTTAGATACACATCTTGCCCTCAGTAAAGCACAGCAAACAAGCAGCAGACAGACTGTCTCAAGGGTCAGTAAAGATCAGTAAGGTCCAGTAAACATTTACTTGGAGGCTATCAGGTCAGGAGATTGCTTCGAGACACCACTATCTCAACATGAACAATTGGTGCCTAACATAAGCCCTGCTAACGCTCAAGGTCCATCAGCGTCCCGCGTTCCTTGGTGCATGCTCATGACAGTGTTGGCATGCGGTGGCTTCCCACACCTCTGAAGAACAAGTTACTGTTTTCAGCTAATAAGACTTAGCTAGTTTGCATTAAAGCAGAATATATAAGATGGAAGATAAGCAATATCACAATTCACAAGTGCCCTCTATTCGGGAATAAAATGAATCTTTTGAGCTCTTCACTTTATTTCTATAAGACCACTATCTTTGTTTTTCCCAAATGGCTCTCAGTCTCTAAGCAGAATTCAATCCAGCAACCTAGAGGCTAAATGACCTCATAACTCATTAGCAGTTCGCAGCCATCTGGAGCCCTTGAGGAGATCAGTGTTCAAAGGGCTGATAATAAAGACAACAGCATAATTATTTCTCTGCCATGATTAAACCTTTAGATGGCAAGCAGTCAGCATATTTATTCTGCAGACTGCTTAGGTGGGTGTTTTTGAAGGTATAATAATACTGTGGTAGGAAAACTTGTTTCTCTGCCCTCATCTAGCCTACAAAAAGGTAAACTGACCACTCAATAACTTATTGAATCACAAAATAGCTCATTGTAAAAAAGGGCATAGAGCAAGGGAGCGATAGTATATGAACACCAAATATAAAAATTGCAAATATAAAACATGCAAAGGAAATAGCCACTTGGACTGTGGATAGTTCTCAACTCCAAGGCATGTCCTGCCAACAACATGGACAGAATCACGTGTGACTTGCTGTGTTTTCGCTTTCTAAAGTGTTCATTCAGTAATCTGTGAATTTCTAACACTAACCCATTTGTCTTCTCATTTTCTAGGGACTCTTCCTCCCTCCTGCCCCAGAAATGTCTTCACTTTCAGAATATGCCTTGCGCATGACTCGCCTGAGTGCCCGGCTATTTGGTGAAGTTGCCAGGCCTACTGATTCCAAATCCATGAAAGTGGTGAAACTGTTTAGTGAGCAGCCTTTGGCCAAGAGGAAGGAGACATATGACTGGTATCCAAATCACAACACTTATTTTGCGCTCATGGGGATACTGCGTTTTTATGGCCTCTACAGGTAATGACAAAAAAAACAAAGAGCAGCCTGTAAGAGATTATTGCAGTAGATCAGAAAAGGGGGAAAAATAGCCTTTCCATCTTTATAGTTTTGTGGTTCTTATAATAGTGACCAGCTAGTCCAAAAGATAGTTTGGGGGGAGGGGCGAGGGGATGGAGGCTTTCAAAATATTCATGATGGGACCCTGGCCGGGTGCTCAGTGGTTAGAGCAGTCACAGGTTCGATTCTAAGTGAAGGGCAAGTACCTTGGTTGCTGGCTCAATCCACCCAATTGGCGCATGTATGGGAGGCAACCAGTCGATGTATCTCTCTCACACACCCTCTTCCCCCCTCCCTCTCTTTCACTCTCTCTGAAAAATCAACGGAAAAAAATGTCCTAGGCAACCAGTCGATGTATCTCTCTCACACACACTCTTTCCCTCTCCCTCTCTTCCACTCTCTCTGAAAAATCAATGAAAAAAATATCCTCGGGTGAGGATTAACAAATATATATATCCATGATGGGCCTACCAAAAATAAAGGTAAACATGCACTTATTGGAAGACATAAATTAATTATGTCCATAATGTGACTTAACATTGACTAGATACTGAGCTATAGAGAGATGTTTAATTGGTCAAGAGCATTCTAAGCGGATGCGGAGGAAAACTAGTCCAAACATTGAGCAGGTTCCTGTTGGTCGATCTGCTTCCTAGCTGGTGTGGGGCAGCCTCATTTCTTCCCTGGTGGCAATTTTGTTGGAGTTTTTATTGCCTTCCACCCTTTTCTGGCATTTTTAGTTGGTACACTTTTTAATATGCTAACATGGTCTAAATGAGGTGTAGTTCACCTTTAATTGTAATATGTAAGCTATTAAAATAGAATAATAGTGTATAATAGTAAGTGTAGTAGGCTCTTTCCTACATTTGTATGTTTGAGTATGTGTAGGAAGTGGGAGCTCAGAACACTATACAACTCTCGAAATAAAATATATCAAATACCTGCCTAGGGCAACAAAACAAAATTTAATTTGGGACTGTTCACTCTAATGTAATAAAATTACTAGTTCATTCCAGATAGCTGCATTCATTTATCCAACATATTTTTTGAAGTACCTTCCACATGTGGGCACTTATGATGGGCACAGGGGAGCCACAGTGAACAAATAGGATAGACTTTCTAAGTTAATATATTATTACAGATTATAATCCATGCATATTTGAACTTCTGGTATTGCTTTGGGGACAGTTTCCCTTGCCATTAGCCTGGGCTCAGAAAATAAAAATTAATTTTATTATGACCGAAAAGAAAATATCACTGGAAGGCAGATCTCCTGAATAGAAAATTATAACCCATAACAAAATCACATTCAGCTACTTTAATGTACCTATTTGCTGCCACTCTCCATTTGTTTGAAAAATAAAGCCTTGCCTATCTTTGGGGACAGGGAAAAAACACTTAGCATTTCGTTATCCATAGAAAAGCATAATTATTTTCATGTAAATGGTTCCTCGCCTGCTGCGGCAAAAGGCAGGATGAAACTAGACAATTTACAATAAATAAAATATTACTCCAAGACCTGCAAGGGGGAGGGAAGCACAGATTCTCAAAAACAGTGACCCATTCAGTCTAGCAGGTACTTGGGCCATTTCATCAACAGAGACAAAAACCCCTGCCTTTGAAGCTTTCTTTCTGGCTGGGGGTGGATGGGAATGGGGGAGGGAATGTAGAAGAGGCGGAAAAACAGTAAATAATTATGTGGTATGTTACAAAGTTGGACATCTATGGAAAGAAAAATAGTGGAGCAGGGTGGGCAGGATCAAGGGTGCTGAGAGGGCACTGGGTGAGTGGGGAGCAGGTAGATCACAGTCTTAAACAAGATAGTCAGGGTTAGCCTCATTGAGAAGATGAGGTTTACGCTGAGACTTGAAGGTGATGAGTGAGCCCAGCGGAACCTGGAGAAGAGCTTTCGAGACAGAGGCAAGGGCAGAGCAAAGCCCTGAGGCAGATGTGCACCTGGTGTGTTCCAGGAGCAGCACGGAACAAGGGGTGAGCGGTAGGACTACAGGCAGATCATCAAGGGCTCTGAGGGCTGTGGGAAGGACTCTGGCTTTTGCTCTGGGTGAGATGGGGAGCCTTTTGCAGGGCTGTGAAGAAAGGAGTGATAGGATATGACTTAGATTTTAGAAGAATTACTCTGGCCACTGTTGAGAATAGGTTATTTGGGGCAATCATAGCTAATCCCAAAGAGGTATGTTGTATCCATCATGTTCATGGACTGAAACAACATACCCTATAAAACCACTATTTCAAAACAGCCTAGGAAGTTAAAAATTGGCCAGCAAAACCCTCTGTGACATTTAATTCATATGCTATTATTGTCCATACTTTGCAGATGAAGAGAATAAGATTCAAAGAGAGAAGGTCACTTATCCAAGGTCACGCAGCTACTAAATGGCGGAGCTGTGATTTGAAACCAGGTTCAAATGGGTTCCCGAGCTTACATATTTAAACACCACTGTTCTCTAGGTATTTGATTGCAGAATACAGACATTTTTACACATCGTGGGCAGTCTTCATCTTACACCCATCTGCTTGTACATACAGTCCTGGTTGCCTTGAGTACCTGTCTTTTGATTTGGCTACCATCTGCCTGAGCCTTTTGGTGTGAACCGTCTACTACCATTAAGTCAGCTTCCTCCACACTATTCCCCCTTATAGTAGGTGCTAATTCCTGGGGTTCTCAGGGTCTCTGTGTAGCTATTGAAGTTTTTCCCCACTTTCTGCTCCTCTCGTATTTTGTCTTGGTATAATAGGGAAACTTGGGTAATTATTAGTGTGGTATCATAGTTCCATAGGTTTACATGGCTGGCCCAAGAATTAACTGTCATTATTTCTCCGAAGGGAACTGTAAGTTAGAAGTGAACTTTTGGAATACAATGAATCTGTATGTTGGGGACTCCCCATCCTTCCTGTTCACCAAGCTGAGCATGTGCTTTGTAGAAGTCATGGATTAATTACCACAACCACCTAAGGCCGTGGTCGGCAAACTCATCAGTCAACAGCCAAATATCTACAGTACAACGATCGAAATTTCTTTTGAGAGCCAAATTTTTTAAACTTAAACTATATAGGTAGGTACATTGTTATTAACTTAATTAGGGTACTCCTAAGGCTTAGGAAGAGCCGCACTCAAGGGGCCAAAGAGCCGCATGTAGCTCTCGAGCCGCAGTTTGCCGACCACGGATAAGGGAACAGTGCTAGATTGGTGTACTTTTCCAGTCTGTAAAATCCTGGCTTGTTTTTTCTCTCTCCATTCAGAGACGAGCATCAGGACTTCAAGGAGGAGCAGAGACGTCTGAAGAAACTTCGTGGAAAGGGGAAACCAAGGAAAGGAGAAGGAAAAAGAGCAGCAAAAAAGAAATAGTGTTTGTCAGTGCGGAGAGAAACTTCCTCCTCTGCAACTGAGAGCAGAAGCAAGAGTTTATTCTCTTTCCCCATGTTGAATGAGGAACACATGCTCCGTGTTGAAGTCTGATCCAGTTAAAGTGTGACCGGTTTCTTGACCACATTCTAATTCTGCAGTTATTTTGGCCTTGGCTTTGTAATCTGAGGTTTACCACATTCCCTAAAGAAATGAATGCAGCCCAGCCAGTGTGGCTCAGAGGCTGAGCAATGACCCAGGAACCAAGAGGTCATCGATTGGATTCCTGGTTGTAGGCTCAATCCCCAGTGGAGGGCATGGAGGAGGCTATCGATTGATGATGTTGCTCTCTCACTCATCAGTGTTTCTCTCCCTCTCCCTTCCTTTCTCTAAAAAATCAATAAAAACATTTTTAAATATATATATAAAAAAAGAAATAAATGCATAGATTATTGTTGAATGGCTTATGTGGGGTGAGAGTGGGATGTTGGGAAAGGGAGGGAAACATTAAGTAAGCACACTAGTCTCATTACTTTCTCTTGCTTCCCCATAAGCCCTGAAGTCTTTCATCTCTGGCTATTCAGCCACTGTCTCTACCTCCAAGCTCAAACTTTATGTGCCTCTCCACCCACTCCTTTGAGAATATCTAATAGAGTATATACCTGGTAAGAGAATATTAAGCATCTGTTGTATACAAGGTACTGGGGTCCTGGTAATACAGTGATTAGCAAGAGAAACAGTCCCTACCTGGTAGGACTTTCAGCCTTGTGGAAGGAATGTTACCTAATTATGTAAATACAATAGTATTAAATGCTACAAAGGAAAAATCCAGACTTCTAGGAGAGGGTGGATGGGTTGGTGAGTTGATCCAAAGCGATAGCAAGAGGCCCAAACGTCAGTAGGGAGTTTAAAGGCCTCCCTAAAGAGATGATATTTAAGCTGGCTCTGAAGGATGAATAAGAGTGGGGCAGAAGAAAAACGATGGTAAAACTGAGGCACAGAGACCACCTAAGGTAAGAAGTCCTGTTCAAGGAGTTGAAAAAGACCACTAACTAGTTCTGGTTGGTCATAAGGAAATAGAGGCCAGATCATGAAGGGCTTTTGCGAGGTCTGTGAAAAAGCTTGGCCTAACCAACTTCACCAAAGATCACAGTGTGTGAGATATTATTTCCATTAGAGAGGACTGATGTATACATGTGAGTAGCTAGCTGCTCATTTTATTGTATTCTAGCAATGAGCGTCTCGTGAGGTTGTGAGGGCCTCTCGGGTGTTTTTGTTTTTTTCAAGAGTTGCTCTGAAGATGTCTAGCACTGTCTAAAGTACTTTTTTTTATTGTAGTAAAAAGATTTACCATCTTAACCATTTAACCATTGTTTCTACCTCTCAGGAAAAGAGAGCACAGTGCACAGGCAAGAGTATGTATAGCTGCTACAATTTTCTTTCCCTGCAACTTTAGATATATTGGCAATAACTTCCCTGTGAATAATTCTTGAACTAGAAAGAATCCCACTACATGTTTAGATAAATGATATTTTCAAAAGATACATAATCCAGATGGTATGGCCAGGCCTATATTACAGTCAAAAAATAAAAACTATTGAATTGCATAAACGAAACTGCAAAACTATTATTCTGCAATTTGGCTCAAATAAACTTATAAAAATTCTCTACAAATAAAAAAACCTATTAAAATTGGGTGATTTGTATCTGATACGTAGATGTGAATTCCAGCAGAAGGCTGAGAATCCATTTAGAACTCTTTCCTTGAGCACCTGCCACGTGCCTGACATACTAGTAGTAGAAAACACAGCTGAATAGACTTAGTCTGTAAAATTGTGTGAATGTGTGTGAGCGTGTTGTAAAATATTGACAAGATCTCAGGGATTTCCTCTGGAAAGTGCAGACACGCTGTCGGCCAGTGTATCTGAGCCTGGTGGGTGGATGACTACCCCAGGATGCTGGGCTGAGAAACAGGCTTGCACCCAGTGCAGAACATCCCAGTGATGTTCAGATTTATGTCCTTTCCAACTTTTGAAGAAGGCCTGCATTACAGGAGCTTAGGAGAATTAATGTGTTATTTTAAAAAGAGTAACTATAATAGACACCAGCAGCCAACCTGAGTCAGAAAACAGACTTGGTGGCTGGTTCACCAAGAGCCTGCGCGGAGCCTTAGCACTGTCTCTCAGGAAGCTTGCAGACCACCCCGCAGGAGATTAGTGTGCCACTGCTCCATGCTGAAAGTCAGAAACTAACGCTAAAACGTATTTACGTAACTGTACCCTAAAACCAACTGATAAAGTAAACGTGGTGTAACTCAAACCAGCCTGTAGAGCAGATGAAAAGTAGAAGATACGAGGGGAGAGTTGACTCTTGATGCCATGAAAGCAACACATCTCAGGACACCAGTGACCAAGGCTAACTGCCATCAGAACTTTAACTGTAGGGTAGGCTAGCCAGATTGTTTAATTGGAGTTCTCTTGCCAAGACCAAAACTATTTGTTTTTCCTCTAATGTTTGGTATTTTGTGTGCATGGAGGATTTTTCCCTTGATTTCAATGGCATAATAAAAAGAAACTGGGCTTTAGCTGATTTGGCTCAGTGGATAGACCGTCGGCCTTCAGACGGAAGGGTCCTAGATTCGATTCCAGTCAAGAACACATGCCCGGGTTGCAGGCTCAATCCAAAGTAGGGGGTGTGCAGGAGGCAGCTGATCAATAATTCTCTCTCATCATTGATATTCCCCTCTCCCTTTCTGAAATCAATCCTCCTATATAATAAAAGGCTAATATGCAAATTTTCCCCTTGGGAGTTCAGGAGACCTGCATTTCGCTCGCTTGCTATGACATGCGCTGACCACCAGGGGGCGGTGTGGAACATGGTGGGTGACCAGCAGCGGCAGCAGGGTGCTGAGGGAGCAAGGGAAGGAGGAGGCAGGGAGGCAAGGAACCACACACTGGCAGCACGTGGGCAGCGAGAGGAGGAGGTGGGGAGGCGGGGAACCTGATCGGCCCTTATCACTGGCCAGGCCTAGGGACCATACCTGTGCACGAATTTCGTGCACTGGGCCTCTAGTAAAAATATATTTTTTAAAAAAAGAAAGAAACTGGGCTTTGGATTTAAAAGTCATGAGTCTGTGACAAAGTTCTACCTACTGGCTATGTGGCCTTATGTCAATTGTCCTCTCTGAACCTCTTTCTGCCTCTGTAAAATCATGATGATAAAACTTCACATATATTTGTGACAAGACCTATGTAAATTGTAAAAGTCAAATATTTCTACATAGTTATTTGTATAACTAGAAAGAATTAATTATGTCTTAACCCCTAGAGTGCCGGGGAGCATGATCGCGCTCCTCCTGTCTTTTGCCAAAAGTGCCGGGAGCGCTATCACGCTCCTCCTGCAGTGTTAACATTATATGTTTTGTTTATAATACAATCAGCAAACAATATGTGTCAAAGATGAAAACAAATGTAGTAAAGGTTTCCTTAAGTTTTTGAATATGTAACTTCATTTACTTTCGATTCATAATTTTTTTCCTAAACTGCTGTAAAATCAGCAAAAATGCCTTTTAGCATAGTTCCTAGGATATTGGTTGGCACTCAAAGGGTTAAGAGCCGATTTTTCCAAGGCAATGTTTACAAATATCTACTGAAAATACAAAGTTCTCTACATTTACATGCAGCATGATAGGTTCAGGAAGAAGCAGGTGGGAGATGAATTTTATTATTTATGTAATCATGGGCTCCAGAAACTCATTTTTTAAAAAGCATCATGCACATGCACACAGTGACATACCTCAGAGATATTGCGAGTTCTGTTCCAGACCACAATATATGGCAATAAAGCAAGTCAATCTTTTTGTTGGTGAAGGATCTTGCTTAATTTGTAAAACACACATCTGTGACATGCAATAAGACAACACACAATAAAATTAGGTGTTCCTCTATGTGTGTGTACAGAGACACACATACATATAGTCTTGTTTATGAAGTATCTTCCATGAAAGTCAAAGTCAAAACTTAAAATTCTACTCTCTTTACCCTTTTCCTCTTTCCTCACACATTTCCCCCAGAGCTTCTAAGTGCCTGCTTTTAAAGATTTAGAGGCAGGAACAAACTTCAAGAGTTATAGAAGGAAAGTTCTTTTAACCTGCCAACCCTGTCTTCATGGCCCTTTTATAAGTTCAATGAAAGCATTTTAAAAAAATTAAACAAAATAGGTAAAACATTCAAGAAGACAGAAACAACCAGTAAAACCCTGGATATTGAGATAACTAGAAAACCAATAAAACTTTTATACTGAACTTAAAACAATGAAATGTTTTTAAAATGACATAAAGGCAGGAAAACAGAGGGTGGTCATGAAACTAATGGGAGGGTTGGCCAAAGAAACTATCCAAGTGCAATTTTCTAACTTAATTGAAGGTCTGGCAATATTATCCTATATAATAAAACCCTAATATGCAAATTGACTGAACGGCGAAATGACCGGCAGAACAACCAGTCGCTATGACATGCACTGACCACCAAGGGGCATATGCTCAATGCAGGAGCTGCCCCCCGTCGGGGATTGGACCTAAACCGGCAGTCGGATATCCCCCAAGGGTGCAGGCCGGGCTGAAGAACCCCTGCCCCTGTGCACGAATTTCGTGCACCAGGCCTCTAGTAAGTTCATATTAAAGTAGAAATGAGTTAAACCAATGTAGATTCTTCTTTCTGTTTGCTTGCTTTCTTTCTTTCCTTGTATTAATTTTAGGGAGAGGAGAGAAAGAGAGAGAAACATCCATTTGTTGTTTCACTTATTTATGCATTCATTGGTTGATTCCTGTATGCAACATTGGTGTATTGGGATAATATTCTAATCAACTGAGCTACCAAGCCAGGGCCCAACCAATGTAGCTTAGATTCTAAGACCATCCTCATTCTAAGTAAGGAAACGTTTTCTGAGACAGAAGATAGATTCATTTATGCAGAACTTTCTGTGTCTATTGCAGAAAATATGAACTCTTCCTTACTCACAGTCTAAATTGGTGCTCAATATGGAATATCTTCCCAAAAGAGCCACAAAACTACTAATTGAACCATTGGATTTTAAATTAAAACAGCATTCCAAACAGAAATTGAAAGCCTCAGATA